GGGCATGTACACCACGCCAGGCTCGGTTTGGCTTTTTTTGGGTGTTTTGAGGCAGGGTCTTGAGAGATATATATACAGATATATATCACCCTGAACTGGTGATCTTTCCGCCTGAGCAGAAAGGGATGGAATTCCTGTCATGCACCACCCTGTTTGGCTAAGATTTCTGTTAAGGAAGTGTTTTCTTAGAACGAGTGAATCTTGCTGGGCGTGCTGGCGCATGCCTGTAATACCAGCCCTGGGAGGCTGAGGAGGGTTACAGTGAATCATCTCGGGTACAGTGCCGGACTGTGTGTGCCTGGCTTAGCCTTGGCTCGTCATGAGCACTGGCCGGTTCTTGCTGGCTTCTGTGGTTGTAGTTTCCAAAGTTCAGATGAAGGTAAACCTGACGCAACAGTACACAGTAAAGGGCTCTAGAGCAAACAGCTTCTGGTCTCCACGGGCCTGCAGCTGGCCAGCAGTCACGGGTAGTACTGAGCTTGCTGGCGGGCTCGGGAAGCCCGGTTGTGTTATGGGGAGCATACGTGTGAAGGTGCTGACCAAAGTCAAAGGTGGTAAGTGGTGGAGTTTTTATTACCTTGGGTTATGAAACTCCGACCTTCAGGGGCTGGGATTTAGCTCAGCGGCACAGCGCCTGCCTGGCAAGCTCAAGGTCATGAGTTCAATTCCCAGTACTGGAAAAAAAAAAAAGAAAGAAACTATGACCTTCAGGAATGTAGCTGAAAATAAAAAAAAAACATAGGTGGTGTTTGATTTCCTTTTTTCTATTTTGTTTTAGTTGGGGCTTTTACTACTGGCTATGCTGCCCAGGCAGGGTTTGGACTTGGTGGTCCTCCAACCTCAGTCTTAAGCTTTTGTGATTATAGGCATGCGCCACAACACCTGCCAGAATTTCCTTGAGTTGGTTTCTTCCTGGCTAAGCTTTTAAAAACTCACCCAGCTGGGTGTGGTGGCACAGGCCTGTAATTCTAGGGCTGAGGCGGGAGGACCCCTGAGAACTGGAGGCCAGCCTGGGCTACCCAGTGCGACCCTGCTTTCAAAAAATTAAGTAGGAAACATGAGATACCTGCCTATAATCCTAGGACTCCTGGTGGCTCAGCCAGGATAACCTTGAATTTGAGGCCAGCTGGAGCTACACGCTGAGTTCAAAGCCTACAGAGTGACACCCTCTCTCAAAAACAACTTCAAACTATTATTTTAAAGTTGTTGGCCAATCTTCAATCTGGCCTTTTTTTTCTTTCTGTGCTGGGATTTGAACCCAGGGACTTGCACATGCTGCGCAAGGGACTCTTGTGCTGAGTCCCAAACAGCGATCTTCCTGCCTCAGCCTCTGAGGAGCTAGGTTCATGTGACCATATTTGGAAAACGAAAGGAAAACAAATATTTCCTTACTCATTTTAGATCCTTGAAATCCTAGAATTTCAAGAATTCTACAGTAGCCAAGCATTGTAGTACATGTGTGTAATCCCAGCTACTTAGGAGGCTGAGGCAGGAGGATCACAAATTCAAACCCAGCCTGGGCAACTTAGCAACTTAGTGGAGCCTGTCTCAAAATACAAATGACTGAAAATATAGCTCAGTAGTTTCTGGATTAAAATGCCCAGAACTAGAGGAAAAATCTGCAGTGCCAGAGATAAAAATAA